TATATATAACTTATTTAGTAGTTTGCGACATTATGCTAACAAATAGATGAGTTTATCATTTAATGCCAGTTCTGAAAACAGATTTCTTTAGATTTCATGAAGTATTTCTTGTGAATGTATTTCACCTACAGCCTCCGTAGATGATCTTAAGATCTTTGAAATTAGCTGACCCTAAAGTCACTTAGCTGTGGTGGTTATCTTGAATGTAACTGACTCTAAAAGTTAATCTGAGTAGAGGTGCAAACAGTTTCATTTAAACATTGCAAGCAAACAATGTCAACAACATTATCATGCAGAGACAAGGCAGTGCTAAGAAAAATGAAGTTATAGATGTGGAAACAAAGACTGTTTTTCCCACTTGTTGACTTTTATCCAAGGAGACAGTTTACATCTTGAAGAAAGTTTGCTAAATGTCATGTTGTTATAATGTCAGTGAAATGACTCATGGCAGGATTTGTTGGCATTTAAATTGTAGCTTGAGTCTGGGCTGTGGATGGTGGCGTGGTTTGAAGGTGGACATATTGTCCTCTGGAAGACAGTAGAATGTCACTGTTGTTCCTGTCATCATGGTGTAGGCCAGGGGTGTCAAACTCCAGTCCTCAAGGGCAGCTATCCTGCATGTTTTAGAGGTTTTCCTGCTCCAACACACCTGTGATTAACAGGATTCTGCCCAATTTGAAGAGTTAATTCAATCACTGAATCAGGTGTGTTGGAGCTGGAAAACCTCTAAAACATGCAGGATAGCGGCCCTTGAGGACTAGAGTTTGACACTCCTGGTGTAGGGGCATATATCTAAATTATGGAAACAATAACATATGAGTTATTGAAATTCATAGTTTATGAAGACTTGGGCACTACCCTCATAAATAATATTACATGAATCCAGTGGTGGCTGGTGGAATTTTCTCCAGGTGGGGCTACAACTCCAAAACAGACGTATCCCAGAAAGCAATCAAACATGTACTAAGTTGTATCATGTCAGTGTATTTATTAAACAAATGACAATAATAAAACAGCATTACAATGTCATGTAGTGTTTTATTTTTACATAAATTTTGTTCTTCTGTAACTGAGAAGCAAATTTCTTCATGACTCTGGTTAAATTCAGGYATGTTTTAACCAGATTCTTATAGAGCATGGTCAGTGCAGTGAGATGTGATGTTGTACCTGAGGAAAGTCTGGATTGTCTTCAGCTCCTCTCAGATTCAGCTGTGGTC